GATAATCATAGGGACTGGTAATGTTGACGAGTATCATCACGTCTGGGCTCATTGCAATTATGTTGGTTCTTTGATTTGATCTCGATCTTTTCCAGTAGTACTCTTTTGAAGAAAATTCCTATGAAATTTCCTACAAAAATTCCTGATTCTTTACAATCGTGAGTCCGGTTTTGGACATCTCAGATAATCGTAAATTTCGATCTAAAAAATCAAAGTGCTATAACTGGGGTTTGGTAGACTTCCAAATCATTCCTGAAATTTACATCCTAAAATCTTTTTTCTGAATTTCAATTTCTAAAACTGATCTCCTATTGCAATTTCCGAAGATTAATTTTGCACCGTTGTGTCTCACAAAACTGACGTTGGAAAACTTTCATATAATTCTTTTGAGATTTTTCGTATTGTCAACCTATTCTCGCCTGTTTCTCCCTTAAGGAGGGTGCTGGTTGCGGGGGTATGATGGTATGATGGAGGGAAAGGACGCGCTCTGCGGGAAGAGGACTAACTGCAGAGTGGAATTAGGGTATAGCGGCAGGGGAGATGGTGGCTTCACTGCAGTAAGTCTTACCGGAGTAAGGTTGGATAGGCGTGGGAGGTGGGTGCTATCAGCCCCTTTTTGGGCTCGTTTTTGTGAGGATTCGCACTGGTGGGTAGAAGTTCGTAGGGGGGTGCAACAAGGGAAGGGCCTTAGTCTTCGTCAGTAGGTCAGAAGGACGTGGTTGGGACGACGCAGGCCGGTGCTGGAGCGTTGCTCTGTAACCTGGGGGAGCGTGAGGCTTGGGGAGTTCTGTCGAGGGAGGAAGGCAGAACCAACACGTTCGACGCAGCCGTTGCCGGGGTTTTATCCCTGTCACCTAGGGGCGTGCGGCTAACGGGAGTTGTCGAGGGAGGAAGGCACTCCTTGCGGCTAACGGGAGTTGTCGAGGGATGGTCGGTGCCGGGGCATGGTGGTGCCCTGTAACCCTAGCATAGGGGGTTATGAGACCTGCCACGTTTAGGTTCGAGGACTGATCACGGGGACTTCATTTTTTTCCAATTGTTGCATGGAATTTTGCTAGGCGGTGGTTTCGAGTTCTTGCTCTCAATCCTTTTTGTGGTGATTGGTTCGATAATCTTAGTTGGTTCTGTTTTTTTCATAAGTAAGCTGTAGGTGGTCTTTAGAGTGTTTTAGGACTCTGGGGACTCCTGGCAACTCTTCTTAGGTGATTTTAATGCTGTTATACTCAGTGACCTGCGGTTGTTCCATGCCAGAACGACGCTGGCCGGTGCTGGGGTGTTGGCCCTGTAACCTGTTAACGCAGGAGCGTGAGGCCTGGTAGAGAGATCTGGGGATGCTGTGGGGTGGGCATTCCATGGGACAACCAAGGGTTGCTGCTGGGACGACGCTGGTCGGAGCTGGGGTGAGTTGCGCTGCCCTGTAACCCAGCAGGATGTGGGGGTATGAGGCCTGGAAGAGCTCGGCAGGGAGTAAGACAGTGTTGGAGAGCCTTGGAATGGTGCGTTAGGGATTTCGAGGGCTTCTGAGCATTTGTAGGATCGCTGCGGTTTACTCCTATGTTTTCCAAATTGACGCGGGTGAAGGGTCTTATCCTCCCTCAAGGGGAATGTTGCTGATTCTCTTGGTAGTCTTGAGAATTCTTTAGGACTCTTGGTACTTCTTGCAAAGCAGTCTAGGCTTCTTTGATGCTGTTTACTCATGGATCTGTTGGTTTTTCGATGCCAGAACGACGCTGGCCGGTGCTGGGGGATGACCCTGTAACCTGTTAATAGCAGGAGCGTGAGGCCTGGTAGAGAGATCTGGGGATGCTTTGGGCCGGGCATTCCAAGGGAAAATCAGGGGTTGCTGTCGGGACGACGCTGGCCAGAGCTGGGGTGAGTCGTGTTGCCCTGTGACCTAGCAGGGTGGGGGCATGAGGCCTGGAAGAGCTCGGCAGGGAAGAAGACAGTATTAGAAAATGTTAGAGTGTTTTTGTGGGGGGTTCCAGGGGTTCTGAGCATTTGAAGGGCTTCCACTAATTACTGAATAAGGGGAGTAGGAGAAGATGGTGGGCTATCACGCGTCCTGCCAGTGAAGGGGCTAGCTGGTAGGATGGGAGTATGGCACAGCAGCAGCAGAGGTAGTGGCTCCGCTGCAGTCAGTCTTGCCGGAGTGAGGTAACAGTGGATTGATGGGGGTTCTCCTGAGTCGTTTCTGAATTTTGCCTAATCATGAAGTCGTCATAGATAGGTCTGAAGTAGCTCCAAAATTCTTTGAGCCAAAGCCGGGTATTGGCCCCGGTATCTTAATTTTCAAAATTCTACTTCTTTTGGGTAGGCTCCTAGTCTCATTTTCATGGAATTCTCTAATGACTGTTTCTGAACGTGCTCATTATGGGACGCTGGGCCCGGTTCCCAGTTTGTGCCAAATTGTGAGGATATGGTTGTATCTATGGGACGCTGGACCCGGTTTCCAGCAGGTGATGCTCCCCACCAATAGATGGAGCTTGTTTAAAAAAAAAAAAAAAAAAAAAAAAAAAGCAATAACTTGTGTGCCTATCCCCTCGATGAATTGTTTCTCTTCCCTTCTCTATTTCCTCTTATGCCAAGCATCTCCTAGTTCCTCTGGTCAAACTTCTCTTCTCTTTCTCTTCATGATATGACCTCGCTAAACTTCTGTCTGTGGAGCTGCTCTGGCCGTTCTCGTTCATCAATCTTCTTTTTCTCCGCTGGTCACGATTGCTCACGACTGCTCAGTCTCCTGAACCTTGACTTCTTCACACCGCTTCTAATACATCTCTCTCCATCAACTATTTGTGCCTTTCCAATCTCCCTTTTCCTGACGCGGGCGGAGCTGCGCTGACCCATCTTGTCTTCTTTTTTTTTCTTCACAAAGTGATTTCACAAATTGAAACCCAACTCTTCAACTGGTATCTGTTACTCTGAATAGGATTCATGGACGCTACCAATTGGCCTACCGTCTTCACCCGAATTGAACACGCCTGGTAATTATCGCTGTATGTAGATGGAAAGTTGTCCCAAATACAGCTATAATGACCGGGGTTTCTAGTTAGATGAAGAGGGTAGCTCAGTTGGCGCATCCATGAACTGTTGCAATACAGACCTGAGTTCGAACCCCTAGGTCAACAGAACCGAATAATTCTGTATTACCAGGGGCCGGTCAACCCAATGATAATATCTCAAGGCTGTCACCCTTTAACAAAGGAGCAGGGGAGTTCATACAAAGAAAAAAAGATTGAGGGAGGCTGATGAAATTAACAGAGGAGTGGTAGGAGTCGCTGGTGATGAAGTCCTGGCAATCTCATACCCCAAACAGGACGTACTTTTTATCGCCATAAAAGCGATATTTGGGGCAACAACATTCAGTCTGGAATCCACATACAGTAAACATGACCGGACGTTCTGTTCGGGTGAAGACAGTACGGGAGTGCTAGATGGTGATGAAGTCCTTCGAGTTGGCATCTAGCTCCGCTTTCGTGACCTAGAGTTCAGAATGTGCGGTCTCTTTTTAAGGGCGTACTCACACTAGAACTTTTTCAGCTCAGCTCTGGATGCGATTGCGGTCAGATGCATCCTGGTCTGGCCGCAATTACAGTCAGATGCATTTTCACAAAGGGCTAGTGTGAGTATGTTCTAAGTCAGGTTGACCTATCCCTTTTACATTATGGCCACCAGCTCTCCTCCACAGCTCTTTCCTTGCTTATAGGTAAGTCAAACCAACCACCATCTCTCTCTAGCCAGCACAACTGTCTCTCTCCCAGAAAAATGGGTTTGTCTCTTGTCAGCTGAGTACTGATTTCCGCTGTGCGGTTGTTGGTGGTGTGCCGACCAGGGCCGAGGGCACCAGCATCTGCATTGCCGATTGGAGCTACGCCCACTGCAGATACGACGCGGGTAGTGGTTGTGACCATATCGAAAGAACTTCTCCACAATGTTCTGGGCGTCTCGTATGCGAAAGGAGAGGACGAGCTCTTGACAAGGCATGTATCGTATGTCTACCCTTCCTCATGACAATCCTTTTCCCCTCTTTTTTGGGGGGGAAAAAAGTACTCAATTAAGTGATTTCTTGAAAGCAACTGGAAGGATCAGATTCGCCAGACAGGCCGGATTCTCCGGACAGCATCTGGAGACCCGAACTTGACAGTCCGGATGGGCGGTAATTGCCTAAATGAGTCTGGGGCAGAGTTGCACAGGCCGACTGTCGGCATGCCTTGATTGGTCGGGCACCCACAGGTCGGCGGTCGGCGGCACCCTGCCAAAAAAAAAAAAAGTCCGTTACCCCCAATAACCCCACCAACACCCCCAATAACCCCCCGAACACCCTCATACCCATCCTCCCCAAACTCCCTATACCACCCCTATACCACCCCTATACCACCCCTATACCGCCCCCACACCCCCCCCCTACCCCCCCGTACCTCTCCCGTTCCCAAAAGTTTCTCAGCGGATTTGGGCTGTACTCAGCAAGCGCAGTACAGCCCCATAGTCAGATTAGAAAGAAAAAAGTGGATGGATGTTTACTGACCGGTCGGCAGACCGCCGACCGGTTGGCCCTACTGGTAGGCTGCAAAATGGTTGGCGGTCGGGGTAGGTGACCGGCAAATATGCAACCCTAGTCTGGGAGAAAAAAAAGACACCCTTCAAAAAATTTGAAAAAAGGCATGGCACAGATAGAGGATGAGGCTGATCGGTGGATCAATCTCACCCGTAGATCTCATACAATGCACGTCACTGGTAGATCTCAGACGACTGACTTCCTAGCCAGCAAGAAGGTTAAGTGGTACAAAAGAGAAGATGAAGCCATAAGTAAACAAAGAAGACAACAACCAGTGAGGGCTGTTTCTCACGGCCCCCAACTGTCAGTGGGCCGTGAAAAACGTCCTCCCATTTTCTCTCGGGTTTCTCGCTTATGCCCGCTGGATGTATCTGGCTGTGATTGTGGCAAGAAGGAAAGCAGCTATTTAGTGCCAAACACATGGAACGTGCAAAAAAGAGACTGCCGCTGAAGTGGAATACCAGCCGTTAACTAAAGAATGGTCCCAACAAGGGAAAAAAAAAAAAAGGGAGTGGAAGAGCTGTTTCTCATGGTCGTTTGACAAGTTGAGGGATGTTGTGAGAAACGGCCCTCTCACTCCGCCACTCTTCGTTTTTCTGGTATTACTTTTAGACATACTTGCAACCGCATGAGCCGGAGTTCCGTGCGGAGTTCCGTGCGGGTGGTGCCTGTGTGGAATCGTGCATGTTTTTTATTTTTATGATTATTATTTTATCTTTTTCCGAGGGGGGGAACGGGGGGGCGTATGACAGGAAGATGGGGATATGGCGAGGAGAGGGGGATATGGCGAGGAGAGGGGGATATGGAGAGGAGGAGGAGGATGTGGACGAGGAGGACGGCGAGGATAGCGAGGACGACGAGGAGTCGTCGAGATGGGGGGAGGAGAAGAGATGGACGGAGGGAAAAGAGGAAGGGCAGGAGGAGGAGGACGAGTGGGAGGAGGAGGAGACATGGACGACGAGGAAGGGGAGGACACGAGGAAGGGAATGAGACGAGGAGGCATGGAAGATGAGGAAGTACGAGGAGAAGGAGATGAGGAGGATGAGGAAGAGCAGGAGGAGGAGGACGAGTCGGAGGAGATGAAAAGGAGAAGGGGGAGGAGACATGGAGGATGAGGAAGGGGAGGAGGAGCAAGGTGAGGCAGTACTCCTGTAATTTTTTTTTTTCATCTCCCTTCTAATTTTGGCGGGGCACCTCAAACGCACCATTTCGACCCCGGCCTTTTTTTGTTTTTTTTTGAGGGGGGTACACACGAGGAAGGGGAGGACATGAGGAAGGGGACTTAGGGGAGGACACCAGAAAGGGAAGGAGACGAGGAGGCATGGAAGATGAGGAAGTACAAGGAGGAGACGAGGAGGATGAGGAAGAGCAGGAGGAGGAGGACGAACAGGAGGACGACGAGTCGGAGGAGATGAAAAGGAGAAGGGGGAGAAGACATGGAGGATTAGGAAGGGGAGGAGCAAGGTGAGACAGTACTCCGGTAATTTTTTTTTTCATCTCCCTTATAATTTTGGAGGGGCGCCTCAAACGCACCATTTCGATCCCGGCCTTTTTTTTTTTCTGAGGGGGGTGACGGGTCATTCCCCGCACACGTCATGCGCCACACGGGATCAGTTGGGCGCGTGCACCGCACGTAGGGAACCGCCCGCACGACGTGCACTTGCAAGTATGCTTTTAGATGTATATGGCCATTCACGAGGCCAGATTCATACCACAAGTAATTCCAAGTGTCTTTTCTCCTTTTGGATTGTTTCTTTCATGCCACTTTTCCTAATTCGGTTTGCCTGGTCAGTATTGCCAGACGGGGTGCAGATGGCCATGAGATATGGACCTGTTTTTTTGGGCCTTTTGCGCTCTCTCTCCCTTGCTTCTGGATTTTGGTAGACGTACCCGGCCTCTTCTTGAGGTCAAATTCATTCCCCAAATAAATGATTGCCTCGCCTCTTTGTTTTAACTCCTTCGCTTCTCAGCCTAGAGAGTTTGGTCCGGTCTGGACAGCTTTACAGGGCCCTGCGCAAGATGACACGCACTTGTGCATCATCCATGTCCATGTGACCGTGCAGAGATCGAATTGACACCAATGCAAGAAAATCAGGTTTTCCTTCGTGAACAAAATCGCTCCACAAAAAGAAAAAAAAAAAAAAAAAAAAAAAAATTTGCTGCACAGTTCTCAATGCAAACGCAATAAAATCAGCCCTGCCATCTCTAATCCGCTACATACATTGGATACTGCACACAAAACACGGAGATATAGCTGATGCCGCTACGGAGGGTCGGCCCGCAGGCTTGCACTGTGGCGGATTGGAAATAGCAGGCCAGACACACATACGCAATTGGATTCAACTTGAAACTTCAATGTAGCTTCCAACAACGCAAGTCCTGCTACTCCCTGATACAAAAGATGCAGAACGGAGTTCATCGCAGTCTTACACATGCTACAAGCTCTGCTACAGCAAGTACATCTCCTTCTCTCTCCTACAGGACCTGTCCCTGAACATCAAAGTATCATTCCTCCTCGGTGGCTCACTCTCCATTGCACAGAAGGTGTCTACTACGAGTGCCCGACACAGCGACGCTGTCCTACCCAAAAAGAGACGGAAACAACAACTGCTCTAGATGGTAACACAATCGCGTTACTACTTCGGCTATGGCCGTCTTCTTCCTCACAACAGCACACTGCCCAGTTTCCCAAAACCTAGCACCACGTGAATGAAACGTGCAAAAACGAATTCTGGGAGTTTTCTCTCCGGGGCACTGCCCCGCTGCCGCTGGAGCCCTACGGATACTAGCTGGACTCACGCTTACCGCACAAGTGGTATGAACTATCCACTTTATGCGTACACAACAACAGGTCTCAGGTTCAAAACTCCCATAGGCACGGTCAACACTCACAAGCACACGGTATGCCAACAGGTAGGCATACAGGTAAGCCAACATTGACGTTCCGGGCTTAAACTTCAGCTGCAACACTCAGGCATGCAATACGGCACAACAGGCAACGACAACAGCAACAGGTCCTGGTCTCAAATCACGGCAAGCGAGGAAGGTAAAGGACTGTCACACTGTTATGATCCTGGGGATCTCACAGTGCAAAACTCACAAAGAGAGAATGCCGGCGGCACCTGGGACTTGAACTATCATCCCACTTGGCCCGCCATTGTTTTTCAAATTTTCCCCAAAGGGCCTGCTCCAGGCGGTTCATTCCGGATACCAGACCTTGACATCCAGGTCGGGATGGTTTCGATGGAGCTCTGGATGCAGAAATGGCAGCCATATGACTCCAATTCTACACATGTACTTCTGTTTCCTGAAGCTTTTGAAAAATCTGCAGTAACCCTGTTCAGAAGTAGCCTGGGGCCCAGAACTCAGCCCCAGGCAACGCAGACCTGAGTCGGTCTGCACTGGGCTGTGTGACCAAGACACGCCCAGGCCTGAGTCTGCTGCGTTCGGCTGTGTGACCAAACGCTGCACACTGGAAATTCAAGGGTCGAAGTCAACTGTAGAGTCAAAGGTACTGCACCCAGGCCCTTGGTTGGATACACTCACTTGTTGGGCGCAGGTACCCAGACAGCATCCAGGCCGGAGAGAATTCGGTTTCAGACCAATCTGGGCCTTCTTTTGCATTGAGATCTGGACGGCCGAGGGATGCAGCATCCGGGGTCCAGACCCCGCGTCAACGCTACATAAGCGCTGACTTCCTGGCTTTGACATTCATTCTGTCTTGCGTTGATGGTGACTTCACCCGTTGACTTCAACACTGGCTCGACGCTGTGATGCTGGCTTGACGCTGCGACGCTGGCATTGTGATTTGGCGAGGCGCTGCTGGTCCGGCATGGTGGCTGGCTTGCACCTGTCTTCTTGGCATGCTGACGTGGCAGCTGCCATGCGCTGTCGCTGATGTGGCCGCTGCCACGTATATCATTGGCTGACGTGGCTGCTGCCACGTGTTCTTCTGTTGGCTGACGAGTCGAAGCTACGTGACTTGTATTGCTGTTCTGATTATCGTCATTCGGGAGGAGATCGGGACTGTGGAGAGATCGTGGATACGTACCTGGTTGTCTTCATGTTGACATTGCTCCAGCGCTGACGAGGGACTGATTAGACGTGCCAGGTGGCACATTGAGGTTACTTCAGATGCTTGTTCAGACTATTGGCTATTGAGGTGGTGATCGAGGAGGGAGCCTGAAGCAGGAGTGAGCCTTGTATTCTTCCTCTCCTTTGTCTAATCTCCCTCCTCTCTCTTCGTCTGTGTATGATTATCTCGTCTCATTCTGTCTGGACACGATTTTGACTATTGGTAAATAATAATTATCAGCTGGTTGACTATCTTCTGGACTTGCATTGTTGACAACTGTCTTCACGATCTGGGTTCATTGCAAATCTTGAGAATTAAGAGAGAATCTCGATTTATGCGTGTCATCCTTGCGCAAACTGTTGAAATACCGACCTGAGCTCGAACTCCATTGGAAGCAGGGAAGTAAATCCTAGAGTTCTGAATTACCTAGGGCTGGTCAGTTCGATGATGATATCTCAAGGCCGTTGCCGTTGTCCTGATAGGAAAAAAAGGGGGGGGAGGGGGGGAGAAGAAAGAGGAAAGAGGAAAGAAGAAAGAAAGGAAGAAAAAAAAGAATAATCTGATCTTGATATGTTGTGTACACTGACGTCTGCCTGATACAGGTAATGTGAGTGGGCAAGAGGACGTCTGGATCTGGGTGTGACCTGGACATGGCCGGCCAGCCACATGGACTGGCTGTGTCTTTGATCTGTTCGTTTTTTCTTAAATATAATTCCATTCATCTGGTAGCATCTGGCTTTTCAAGCTCAGGTCTATATTTCAATAACTCGTGGGTGTACCAACTGAGCTAGGCCCGTTGGAGGGCAACAGTCCAGTTGCTCATCACTGGCAAGTACAGTTTTCAAGGTCCAATGTAAAAGAAGTAGAGATAGGCCTGAGACGCTGTACAGGGGGGGGGGGGGGGGGGGGGGGGGGGGGGGGGGGGGGGGGGGGGCGCGGCATGTGGGAGCCATCCGTTACTCCTGCTGCAGGGAACACATAATGGCCGGGAAACATACCTATGTACTGGTCTGACTGTGCTTGAACAGGGTCCGACCTTATTTTTACTTCATATTTGTGGGAAAGTCCTCACTACCTTTCCGCACTCCCTTAACTGGGTGTCTCTGACATTATTATTAATTTATTATTGCATTGCTGTATATATGCGTGAAAGTCCTAACTTCTTTTCTGGCCTGTTTCTTGACGTTTGTTTTTCTTGCGAATTGGTTCCCTCTGGGAGAGCAGCAATATCGCTGGCTTCATCTACGTCACGGACGTGAATCTTCAAAGGTGCGTACCTTCGCTGCTGGCTGAATGTTCACTCTGCATTGTGTATTTCAGAATCTGTTGGGTTGTGCAGTCCACAATCATGTGCAAAACTGTTGAGGAAACAACCAGTCTTTTGAGACGTCCATCAAAATTGGAATGATACAGAGAAGAGTAGACATCATATTACTTGCGGCGCATTGCATGTGCGTGTGGTGTGCACGTGCGACACACAGCGCAATGCACCCATGCCCGTGGACACAGTGCTGCACACAGCGCAATGCACCAACGCTTGGTTTCCATGATAATTTTTCTCTTAGGAGGGCTGTCCATTGTCGTGGGGTACTCCGAGCTATCGAGGCTAGGTTGAATTCGAGAGAGCGACAACCCTTCAGAGGATTGCGGAGCTCTTGCTCTGTCGACCATTCACCCCATTCCTCCGAGCACAGATGTTTGATCTGCCAAACTCCTCTCTCTACCCAGCCGAGCCTTCTCCGATCCTTGGCACAAAGAGTCGAAGGGTTGCCCTCTGTGTCCGTAAACCATCATAGATTGCAGAAGGGAGGCTGTCTGAGGACTTCCTCTTTGTTGTTTGGTGCGCCGCGTTTGCTCACTATCAGTCGGCGCCAGGCTTCCAGAGTAGGGGTCCAGTATGGGTTCGGAAGGGGGGGGGGGGTGGTTTGTTTGTGGAAGATTGGTCCTCATTGTTGTCCTTCCTGTTCTGATTGTCCATTCCTTGGCCATGATCCAGAAGAAACCTCGCATGTTGGGTGGAGGGCTTTCTGGTGCCAGGTTCCTTATGCTGTCCAAAGCCAATTTCGTCCGTAACCAAATTTTAATTACCCATTTCATCTGAAGGGCAATTGCTTCCTGTTTTGGGTCTATTATACCCATGCCTCCTTCTTGCGGTTTCCCGATGATGTGCTTCCAGGCCACCTTGTTAATGATGCAGGTGGTTCTGTTTGGGTCACCAGTCCATAAGAACATCTGACTCCTGCCTTATAAAAGTCTTAAGGTCGTCGTCCGGGGGGGGGGACCAGATCGATGCGATGTCCCACAGCGTAGAGAACATTGTCATGCTTATGATTAGCGCTCTGCTGATCAGAGAAGCCTGAGCTTTCTTGCATGGGGCCAGGTGAGACATGTCCTTAGCGATTAGATTTTGTCCCATACATGGCCACGTGCCATCCTTGTTTACCATGATGCCCAGGTATCGGAGAGCTTGTTCTCCTGTGGACCATGACAGGGGAGTGGGAAGGTCCAGGGGTTGATGGGGGGGTGCCATCTGCTAGCCACCATTCTTCGGATAGTTCTCAACTTCTCACGGCACAATTTTTTTTTTGTTTTTTTTTGGGGGGGGTCCTAATAATAAAAACGGTGATGTTTCATGAATTGTGAATCTCTGCAATCGGTGGAATGGCCGTCCCTTTCTCTTAACATATACCGACCATTTTTCAGGCTTGATTCTGACAGTGGATCTCTGTTTTGTGTCTCAGAACACAGAGCCTCATTATGACTGTATCAGACCTGAAAGATAGTTTTGATACATTCACACGCCGTGTTGAGCACAAGGTATCCTGGGTCCTAATAATAAGAAGGGTGATGTTTCATGAATTGTGAATCTCCGCAATCAGTGGAATGGCCGTCCCTTTCTCTGAACATATACCAACCGTTTTTCAGGCTTGATTCTGACAGTGGATCTCTGTTTTGTGTCTCAGAACACAGAGCCTCATTATGACTGTATCAGACGTGAAAGATAGTTTTTATACATTCACGCGCAGTGTGGAGCACAAGGTATCCAGGCGATCCTTGCGATGTTCATGTCAGTGCGCCTCCCGGGAATCCTAGTTTTTATACATTCACGCGCAGTGTGGAGCACAAGGTATCCAGGCGATCCTTGAGATGTTCATGTCAGTGCGCCTCCTGGGAATCCTTGCAGCCCAGTCGTTCACCCTGACGTGAGGATTTACCCTCTGCACGTCTTAAGTCCTCGATTAGATCCGTCCACAGCTGTGCGAGTGACTGCGGCACGCTTCTTGACATTGTACATGTCCATCGCCTTGATCAGCAAAGCTCGCGCTCCTCTCCTCCAACAAAGTTCAACACACGCCTCGTCTTCTTTTCAGTTGTCCTGTAAGCGATCAGTGTGAGGCCTGTGATGTCCCACAGGGCCTTATGGTCCTAGCTCCTTCTATTCTGGGGAGCATCAGTCCGGTTCCTATTCCACCGGCAAGTCAAAATACACATTACATCAATGAAGACTCACACACGCTTCCTTTCGTCAGGCCAGGACCCCTGAACAGCATTGATTACTCCACCGCAGTGGAGGATTGACTGTCAGCTTGCAGTGCCCCTCTCTTTCATCTCAGATCTGGAGTACAGATCTGCCATATAATACTATGTCCCCTAGAAAGAATTCAACCTTTGTCACTGTCGGCCTGTGTCCTCCCCACTCATCTCCCCGACCTGTGGTGCATGATGTCTCCTTTCTCAGCTTATTTGTCTCCCCCTTTTTTTTTTTAAACCTGTTTTAAGCCCTAAACCCTAAACCCTCAACCTGCGAAACCGAGTTCCAGTCACTCTTTGAATCTGTCCTTTCCCCTTGCTCTTGTCCTTTGGTGCCGTCCGTCTAAATCTGTGCTATCAAACCTTGACTGTGGCAGTTTAAACTTGTCTATTTTCTGTTCCCCAGCCTTAAAACCTCCACCCTCAGCCTGTATGTCCCTTCTTCAACATTCCCTTGAGTCCACCCTGTTCCCCTGTCTCCTGTTTCACATGTCCGTGTCTTGATCCGGGACTGCTTGCTCGTTGTTGGAATCCTTGCATGGAATTCTGGGGAGCGTCGATCCAGTTCTTTTTTTTTTGTTTTTTTTTTGCTGTTACTCCCTCTAGCTAAAATCTGAGTGTTGAATCCACTTAAATGCACCTTACTACTATGCACCTTGTCACTGGACAGCAAAACGCTGGGTACTTCTACCCGATGGCACGAATCTGAGTGCTCCTACCCCTCTGCGAAAGTCTGGTAGTATTGATGCACCTTCCCACACGACTGCTAAATCTGAATACTACCCTACCCAACAGCCTTGCACCTTCCCACCCGACAGTGAAAATCCAAAAAACTACCATGCACCTTCCCTCTTGACAGTCAAATATGAGCATAGTATGCTTCCTCGTGCCCGGCAGTGAAACTCCAATGCACCTTCCAACCTGACAGCGAAAAATTCCATGACTGTGATGTACCTTCCTTCCTTGAAAATACTATGCCCCCTCCTACGCATCCCTTAAAATCCGAATACCATGGTGCACCTTCCTACACCTAACAGCAGAGTTCTGAATCTGTGCACCTTCCCAATCGAYGGCAAAAATCTGGACAATCCAGATACTTCTTCTGTGGAACCTTCCTACCAAAAAGCAAAAATCCGATTACAGCTATGGATCTTACTACCAGACAGCGAAAATCAGGCTACTCTTATGAACCACATACAGGGTGTTGACAAATCTTGACTGCACCCGTACCTTCTCTCTTGTGTTGGGCTGAGCCTCTACAGTCCCGCAGCCTCCTTCCTTTCAGAAGATCTTGGGTGCAACCTTCCTTTTTTTACTGGGTTATCGAGATTTTCCTTCCCCTTCCCTTTATCCTATCTCTCTCCCGACCCCTGATTTTGTCCACCCTCTTCTCTCCATTTAAAGCGTAGTTGTGTGCCTCTGACCTCTGCTACTGCCCCCTGACCCAACGTGTTCTGTTTGAATCTTTTAATTATCTCCTCCTCCTGCCCTGGTTGTTGCTGTGCCTGCTGTCTCACCCTTTTCCACTGCGCATTGAGGTGTGCTTCCACTGCCTTGAGGATCAACTCCCTGGCTTCCTCTCTATGCAATAGCGTTCCTTCCATAGTGGCCTGACATCTCCTCTTCCAAATGATCCACAACCCGTACTGCCTCAGTAGCTGAAAGATATGTCTCTGATAGGGTTGCATCCGTTTGGGTACCTCAGCCCCCAATAGCCTAACAATTCTTGATTCTGGAAAGGGAATGTTCGCCACCCGTTTCCAAATTCCCCTGACTTGATCCCACATCCCCTCTGCCTCCTTGCATTCCAGTAGACAGTGCACCAATGTTTCCGGGAGTCCTTCTTGACACACTCTGCACAGCTCAGCTTCATCGCTCCTCTGGTTGTGACTTCTTCTTTCGTTGAGCCAAACATTCACTGGCAGCGCCAAATGTGCTATTAGCCATTGCGTACTCCTCACTTGTCCCAGTCTTATTGAAAGAATATTTGCCCATGGTATGTCCGCCATTTGGCTTCTGGGGACCCCCACCCTTTTCTCCCAGTGCTTGAGCAGAGTAGGTCCCATAGCCAGGGATCTGTTCCTCAACCTGTAACCTATTCTTGTGGTGTAGTGGAGGATGTTGATTCTCCTTGCTACTCTTGATTGTYCCCCCYTAATGTTCCAGGCCCATTCACCAGGATCCACCTCTAGCTCCTCAATTGGTACCGCTGGATTGTACACTGTAAACTCCTCCATCTCTATCACTCTTACCTTCCRCMACCCTTGTTTGAGAATAYACAGCGGYGCTTTTGATGTCCTATCCAATTGGGACGTGGTATTGCGCGGCTGTATTATGCTGTATTTGTCTGCTACTAGCCATTCGTTCCTGTCTTTGACCGTATCCCACACCCTGAACACCTCTCTAGGTTCTGCATCGTCTTCCCATGTGGCCCAATCTCCCTCCTGCCATTGTTTTCCCCCCCTCAGCAACTGCACCCAGGTTGGATGTATGGAGCCTGTGAMTACACTCAAGTTGTCCTGAAGCTTATGACACCCCTTCAATGTCCTTCTCAGCTCCTCTGTTGTTTTCCATCTGTTGTTCTCCTCATTCCASATGTGTTTGAYCTGCCATACCCCGTGCTCCAACCATCTGCCCCATCTCGAATCCTTGCTTGTTAATGTTAGAGGCTTACCGCCAATGTCCTTAATGTTTSCGTTGCAGAATAACGGTTGTCTTAATACCTCCTCTCTTGTAGT